TTTAGGAATTAATATTACTCCAAAATACAAGTTCAGGAATTTTTAGGGTTTTTTCCCTTTAATAAATAAGAACACGTATGTATTTAATTTAATATACGAGGTTTTCTTTTCACGTAAAATATTAAATAATCGTGAATCAGGTGAATTTGGCTAAATAATACTATATGTAGTGTATAAAATTTACGTAGTTAAAAAAAGTAACCGACAAAATACGGAGTTATTAGCAATGAAAGGACATGGGGAATGACATTTTTTCACACTTCAATGCAAACCAAAGCCATGATATTTTGCAGACAGTATAAACATTTACATTTTATAAAAAAATTTCACTTTTGGAAATTATATTACAGTTTTCAATTATAAAGAAAATAAATCATGGCCCTTAGGGTCAGGTCAGGTGGCAGAGGGCAGGGGGCAACTCTTTGAGGTGGGGGGATCGAATCCTCTTGTCGCTCCCTCTTCTTCTGACTTGCTCGCTTGTCAGCCTATTCTAATGGGCTGATTTACATCCCACGCGTGTGTTGCAGACTCGTGCGTCGTGAGTTTGGGGTTTGACCCGCAGGCGCCTAAGTCCAACTATGGCCCGAACGTTAGGCGCGCTTGGTGGCCAAGTCCGGCGGACAGAGATCTATGGAGACTGTTAGGTGCGGGTGGTGGCCAGTTTGTCTCCGTTTATAAGGTTAGGTAGTCACGTGGTTCCCAATGTTATAAAAAAAATAAAAATAAATCATGATATATATATATATACACACACGTACATGTGCGAGAGAATGGGAGTATCATTAAAAGATGGCATGCGAGAGAATAACGATGCATTGAAATCGGGAGATGTAAGTTGTAAAAAGAAACGAGCATCAAATGATTGCGAAGAGCGGGGATGTCGGCGCGTCACTAGACATGAAGACACGCGCGCGCGTGAGCCGTTTCATTGGCACGTGACTTTTTTTTTTACTTCTTTTTTCTTCTCTGGTTTTTTGTTCTCCTTCTTAATTACCAAAATCGATAAATAAATGTTTATTTATGGTTTGCAAAAGATTTTTTTAGTAATCCGGAAGTTCATCGTATTTTTGGTCCGACTATATCTCGCATAAAATTAAGAAAATTAATGTGAATATCTCTCCCCATATGAGAACTCGAATCGGGTCGGTAAAGAGTTTTGTTCTCTTCCGTACTAGTTGATCCACCAATGTAAAAGTCGAATGAAAGAGACCCCTTTTGGCTTACAACCTCAGCTTTCTGTAATGACCCCATTTAGTTACCTTCATTATTCCACTTTTAAAATTATTATTTTATTTGTATCTATGTCATCTTTCTATTTTTCACGAAATAATATTTTTTAAAATTTTTAAAAAATGAATTTATCGATTTTTATAAAAAGATTAAACTTTAATTTTTATAAAATAAAATCTCAACTTGATTCTTTAATTATATATAAATCTAAATTTATAACAATTATTATTTTAAACCCATCGCTACTGTTTCATATCACTATTGGAAAATGTGGATTAAAAATATCACATATAGTTAAAGTGTTAACTTATCAAATAAGATTTCGGTATATCACATTAACACTAAGATTTAAAAATGACAACGATTGTAAAGTTTGTATATATTTTTTTACTGAAAAACGAAAAATAAATTTAAAATTTTTTGATAAAAAATAAAAATTAGATTTTATTTTTAAAAATTGATAAATTTAGAATTTTTTTAGAATTTTATAGTTAAAATGATGTTATTTTATTTAAATTATGTTTATCTATTGTTAGGTGTGTCGGGTTCAAATCATATCACTCCAGTTAAAAGATTGGATGGTTTGATAAATGGGGCCAAACTTAGGAACAAATCTCAGCCGTTGGATCATTCCGGCAGGCCCCCGCTAACGTATGAGTGGTGGCCCACCCAACTTTGAATGCTAGATACTCGTTCATAAAGATTTGTCGTTGGAAGGGCAGATCTGTCACATAATAATGGACCGGTGCGCTATATTATATATCATAACGATTTTCTTCTGCTATGTTGATCAAATTTTATATCGAAAATAATAAATATCCCCTTTTCCGTTGGATTGAAAAAAAAATCTCTCACTGGTTTTTCATAAGAAAATCATCACATGTTTGTTTTAAAATACTATGATCATGGTAAAAAAATACATAAATTATGTCTAATAATAATTTTTTGGTTATACCATAAAATGATTATTAACGGCGTTCAATTATGAATCGGTACCTTTAAACTTTTCATATCCAAAATAATTTCCGTTCGTTTTTTGAGATCAGCACACTAAACTATAAAAGACTTGTTTAAAGTAAAATTCCATTCTTAGAACATGATTGTATTATAAATACATAATATAATATATTTATGTCTAATAATTTTTAAAACTATATTTTGACACAGTATTTTTTAAAAATTTTCCACGTGGGTAGTGGGTAGTGGCTCAAACCAAATTCAAGCATTCAAAGAAGATTTGACTTTTTTTTACCTACTTTTCCACCTCGAATCTCTTTCTTTGATTTCGATTTTGTTGTTTTTTAAAAAAAATATTAATTTACGGTGATTTTGAGTAAAAAATGCCAAAAAGTAAGAAAATAAAAAGATATTTAACGAAAAAAATACTCCATTTTATTTATCTTTCGCAAGGAAGGAATAATAATTTGTTATTTTATTATTGTTAATCATAATAATTTGTTATTGCTGTGACAAAAAAATATATCAATATGATTATTTTATCATATTTTACAAGGGACAATAATGCATATATTTTTTTTATTGACAGAAAGGAGGACAAAGAAGCCGAGTTTGTGCTTATAAATTTGTTATTTGTTATTTGTATACAACTGAAAATAAAATAATTATTCGCCCCACTCATCATTGGACGAAGATAGGCTATTAAATAAACAGTATAAAATAAAATGAAATAAAATATTTAAATAGCCCCACTCCAAGCACCCTCCTCTATATAAGCCCCTCATTTGTGCCATGCTCATCATTCATCAAACCATCAACTCTCTCTCTCTCTCTCTGTCTAGAAGCAGAGCCAAGGGCAATTTTCTCGTGGGTTTCTGTTTTTTTCCCGAGAAAATTCCGATTAAAGAATATGATGGTCGAGAAAGACGACCTCGGTCTGAGTTTGAGCTTGGGTTTTCCCCAGAACCAGACGAATCCAAAGCTGAATCCATCCCCCTCTGTTTCTTCTCCATCTTCTCCGTTCGGGTTTCTCGGAAAATCTTCGTGGAACGGCAGTTTTAATTCCTCAGGTATCCTTGAATCCAGAATTTCTGTTTCCCCTTACAGCTTTCCCGGGAAAAAAAACTGTTTTTTCAAGGATTGATTTATTTCCTTCCTACCCATTTTTTTTCCGTGAACTTTCATTCCATTTTCTTTTTTCTCGGCTGCCAAACAGAAACCGGAAAATCACCGTTCTGATCCCTCGGAAAGCCAAAAAATTTCTTTTCATTTTTCCTCCACTGAACAAAAATGAGAATCAACCTAAAACAGAGAGGCTCACCTTTTTTGTTTTTGCATGCAGCGCCAAACTCCGAGCCGTTTCGTGTACGGACAAGAACATTCATCCGCAGCATCGACGTGAACCGAGCGCCGTCGACATCGGAGGCGGCGGAGTGCGACGACGAAGCCGGCGTCTCCTCCCCAAACAGCACCGTCTCAAGCGCAAGCGGTAAGAGAAGCGAACGGGAAACGAACGGATCTGAGGATCACGACACAGATCCGCCATGTTCGCGCGGTATCAGCGACGAAGAAGACGGCGACACGTCCAGGAAGAAGCTGAGGCTGTCCAAAGGTCAATCAGCTGTCCTTGAGGAGACCTTCAAGGATCACAACACCCTGAATCCTGTAAGTTTTCAGGACCGGGAAAATCTTGTCTGTTTGGTTGCCGAGAAAATGATGAACAAGGGTTTTACTTGCTTAATATGTTAGCTTAGAAATGAATGAACTTTATTGGTCAAAAAAGCATTTTGATTACTTTCCGGGGAAGTGATGACACTGTAATTATCCACCTGATCTAAAAGGGTTTTTCTTGTAACTATCACAGAGACAGAAGCTGGCTTTGGCGAAGCAGCTGGGATTGAGGCCAAGACAAGTGGAGGTCTGGTTTCAGAACAGGAGAGCGAGGTAAGAGATCATAGAGAGAAGACGAGTCTCTGAATTCCCGGAAATGCCCTCTGTGGATCGGTGTAATCACGGATGACGGAAAAGGGTAACTGGGTAATTTTCGTTAACAGGACGAAGCTGAAGCAGACAGAGGTGGACTGCGAGTTCTTGAGGAGGTGCTGCGAGAATCTGACGGAGGAGAACAGGAGGCTCCAGAAGGAAGCGGCCGAGCTGAGGGCTCTGAAGACGTCGCCGCACTTGTGCATGCACATGCCCCCTCCCACCACTCTCACCCTCTGCCCCTCCTGCCACCGCCTCTCCTCCGCCGTGAATTCTCCCTGGTGCCCCGGAGCTCCGATCTCTCACCGCCTCCGGTGAAGGGTATTCCGGTAATCTCGTGTGGGGAAAGATGTGTGCATTATAAGATTCCCTAAGACCCTTTTGACCTCTCCCTTGAAGGTAGCAGTTGTAATTTTTCTTAATTAGTTCCATGGTTTTTGTTCCGTATAATGACCGTCAAGTCCTTTGCAAATACAGTGATCATGATTTTAAAAGAGGAGTATATATATGTGTGTTGGTCCACATATTTTACATATGCAAAAAAAAAACGTTTGGGCCATTATTGGGCCTCGGAGTTGGTCTTGAGCTAGGCCCAACTCAGATTACTCAAAGCCCAACCAACCGTTTTACATATGCAGAGAGAGAGAGAGAGAGAGAGAGATTACAGATTCCCTCAAATTATGTGATGTAATACTTGAACCGAACATTGATGAAATGTTTCTGTGGTTGTGTCTAAATCCCAGAAGTTGCATATCATTAGGAGTATGTAAAACGATCAAAGAAAAAGGCGGAGAGGAAAGAAACGATCACGTTGAAGGATTCCTGGAGGAGAGGTTGGAGCAAGCAAAGGCAGATCTCTTGATCGATTCGATTCTCTGAAGCCTGATTTGCTCCCTGAATTTGGCTATGAACTCATCAGCTTTCTTGTCCACGTCACGCCCTTCTTCTCCTTCACTGTGACTTCCACCATCTTCTTCTTCTCTTCTGCTCTTCCCGTCCATGTCTGATCTCCCCAGAATCTGCGAATCCAAACTTCTAGCTCCTGTATCATCCATCTCGTCTTCTTCGGAGCTGTACGAGTCTTCTTCGTCAGTTTCGTCCAATCTTTTCTCGTGAAAATCTTTGTATGTCTTGTTTCGCAAGTAATCTCTCCGATCCCCGAAACCCAGCTTCTCGGCTTCTTTTCCCATCTCTGGATCGTACCCTTTGTTCTTCTTCGGCGATTCTACCGACCCTTTTCCCAAAATCCGACCTTGATTTGATCCATTGATGATCGGATCACCCCACCTGACTCTCCTGATGGAGTTCTCAGACGGCATCGTCTCGTGATTTGAGGTAACTCTCAGTTCGCTTACTCTGGGTTTCGCCGGAATCGACTTATAAAACTCCAGCGGCGGAGGCGGCGGCGGCGGAGGAGGGGAAAAAGCTTCCGACCGAGCTGTCCTGAAGGTTTTGGACGAACCCTCTGCGAGTTTCATCTTATGATTCGACTCTTTTCGCTCAATCCTGTAGCCTCCGGACAAATCCTTCTTCGCCGCCGCTTTATGAAACGGCGGAGGAGGAGGAGGAGGAGGAGGCGGATGAAACCCGCCGTAGAAGCTATTCTTCCTCCATGAATCCTCCGCCGATTTCGCTAAAGACTCAGTATAGGAATTGGCCAAAGGTGTCGACTTTTTCGGAGAGTTGATCATCGGCAGTGACTCGATCGCGGCCTCCGACCTGATCAACGGCTGAGATTCGATCCCGGACGATCTCGAGCCCCACGGAATCGGTGAAGGGAGCACAACGTTGTTGTGATTCACAGAGTTCTCGCTCAAACTCTTGTAGAGCTGTCTCCGGCGATCGGAATTCACGCCTGAGACGGTTAAATTCTCGCCGGAGTCTGAAACCCGTGACAAATTCAAGCTCCGAACAGGCAAAAGCAGAGGCTTTTCACGGATCTTTGAACTGACTTGACCCACGACAGCTTCATGATCTTTGGCAAGGACAACCTCGGAGCTGTTCATCTGATACCGATTTCTCCATGTCTGAACCTTACTGTAACCTCCGGCGGCTGACTCATCCGACGGCTCAGATTCGTTGCCGTTGTTGTCGTGATCGTCATCGAAAACAGAGGATACATGAAGGATCCTGGACAAGTAGGAGTGGGCGTTTTCAAATCTGTGGTTGTTGCCATGGACGGCGTTTTCTTTGCGGCCTCCGCCGCCGTCGTAGTTCCGGCGGCTGAAGAGACCGTAGGAGACGGCGATTCCGACAAAGACGAGGTGAAGAAGCTCGAGGAGTCTGGTCTGGTTATTGAGGTCCGGCGACTGAGAGGTGAAGAGAGGGACGATGACGCAGAAGAGCGTGACGGCGAATGCTTTGAACAGAAAGTGAGTGTAGAATTTGCTGGGGTTTTCACCTTCTTTCTGAATTTGGTGGGTTTTCTTTGATTTGGAGCTTGTTTCCGCCATTGGAGAGAGAGAGAGAGATGCTAAGCTGAAATGTTCTGTTTTTAGTTGAAGGTGAATATGAAAGTGAGAGAGGGTTGGTTTTGTGTACACACAGAGAGAGAGAGAGAGAGAGAAGGTGGAAGACTTGGGGGTTAAGAAAAAAGATGGGAGGGAACAAAAGCTTTGGTATAGAACATATAACTCAACTTGGTGTCTTGCATCAGTTACACTTTATTCTGTAACATATATGTATATATATGTATATGTAGTACATATATATATGAGACCATCGGTTGAATAAGATAATTTTTATATACATATTTTTCGATCCATGGCATATTTATTATAAAGTTATCTAATTGGATATACAACAAAAAATGCATGCGTTCAATTCGTCCGTATCCCAAACAATGTAATTATATATATACAATGGCGTACCTAGAGACAGTGATGAAAGAAGGCAAAAAATTATATACACATAATTTTATGTAAACAACTTTTATTTTAATGGGGGAATTTAACATTTTTATCTACAGTTTTATACAATTTATAAGTAAAATTAAATTTTTTTAATTGTTTATGGGATAAACAGTACAGTAATTTTGGATAATATTATTAAGTAGAAAATAAATGGATTTAAAAAAAAAAAGAGATGCGCGAAGGCACAGGTTGCGTAGGCAATGCATGAACCCGTACCCGAACCCGAACCCGAACCCGGATTCCCTGCCTTTTGGTCTGCGTACGCTAAGCCCAAGTGAATTAAAAATAATAATATCATTCGCTAATCAAATCACCATTAAATAAAACATTAATATATTGTTAAACCATATTAGATTAATGCCCAAAGAAGATACTGTACTGGCGAAAATAAAATAAAATATTATTATGTATATTGCTATGTTTCATCAATGGCGAGCAAAACTCGTTATTTTTTATATTCGCTTTATTTTAAACCATATTATATTTTTTTTATATTTTGTTATGAAATATACGAGAATGAAGTTTAATGAATTTCGAAAGCTAAATATAAATATATATTATCTGTATTCACTTTATTTTAAACCGTATTATATTTTTTCTACGGCAGTCATGGCAATAATAAAAATAATATACTCAAATTTAGATAATTTAATGATAAGAGAACATGAAAAATATGCTATTAATTTGTGTATAATTTCAAGCGTGAAAAGGGTATTTTATCCATATTTTTTTGTAATATGTAATTGAATAAAAGATAAGTGAATTTTTGAATTATCCAAAAAAAATAATATAAAAATGTTATATTGTTATTAAATATATGAGAATGAAATTTAATGAATTTTGAAGACTAAATATATCGCCAAGTCAGAATATTAAATTTGAGGCAACTTAAGTAAGAAGATTAAGAGGATAAATCCTTTTTTTTTTAATTATGATAATATTATACGAAGGTGGGTGATATAACATATAATTTTGCAGGACCAAAAGTCTTATATGGTTCCGACCAAATCCAAACTTTCAAAATATGATAAAATTCTTATTCTTATTTCCAATGGCCTAATTTCGGAATTTGGCAAACTTTTCAACCCTTTGTAGCCTCATGGTAAGACATTCAAACTAATTTATTATTAATTTATTTTACAAAAAAATAAAATTTTATTTTAGGACTAGTCTTTAGATAATGATTTCATGTTTGATTCGTTATACTTGTACACCCTTGGGCATTTTTAAATTGCGTAATAAATCACAAAAAATATTTGTTTGTTCCCACACACAATATATATATATATATATCTCACCTTTCTCCTCGCGAATAAAGGACACGTGTCAACTACACATGGACTTTGACGAAATCAATCCACGAGGACGCCGTGACTTTATCAGAACCCTCTCCAACACTCGGATCGTCCTCTCCCCCAACCCAAGAGAGTTTGTTAGAACAATCAGGTGGAGTAGCGTTCAGGCAAAAATCGGACTTTTCCAAAATCCTCTCTAGGGTTTTCTCCCGATTCTTCGATTCCAGAATTTCCTCTCCGATTGAAAGGCGGATCCATAGTTTCCCGGCGATTGTCCTCCGCCACCTGATCCAGTCCTCTTCCGGCGAAATATGGTGGTGATCTCCCTGAAAGTTTTGAATCCCGTTATTCTCCGGTTCATTCCCCTTGATTTTTCTGCGATTTCGATTTCCTGTAGATTTTCTTGGCTTTGTCTGCGGATCCTGTAAGATAATTAGGGTTTCCGTTGCCTCTGATGTGAATACTTTATGTCCTGGTTCCGTCGATTGTTGTTGGGAATAATCCTGTCTGTGTAGATACGCTTGTATATATATAGCTGGTGAATAGGGGTTCGATTGGGAAACTAGGTTGTTGGTGTGGTAGAACTGTATATCTTCGGTCGCAGATATGTATATCGAAGAACTGAAAGGAGGAGAGGAGAAGGGGTTGAGGTCGGTCGGGGAGGATAAAGAAGATAATAGGGTTGCAGAGGGAGACAAGGCAGTTTTGTTGAGCGGAGGAAGCGTAATCGTGTTGTCCACAAAGAGGGTAATGGTCGGTGTGGGAGCTCGTGCGTTGTTCTATCCGACTCTGATATATAATGTTGTTAGGAATAAGCTGGAGACCGAGTTCCGGTGGTGGGACAGAATGGCGGAGGTAAATTTCTCATGTTTCTTTCGTGATTCTTCATAGAATTTTTTTGGCAGTCTGTGTTAATCTGAAATTCTGAATTTCAAATTCTACCAATTGCTATCTCATACACACACTCGAATATAATGCTAGTCTGATGTATTACTATGCCAGTTTTGATTAGTTGTTAAAATGTGGCTGTACTTGGATTTCACCTTGAAGTTTAATGTTTCACCTTCAAAGTGAGCTGCATTTATGTTTCGGAGCCTGTCTCCAAAAAAAGCATATTATTTTGACCTTTAGACCTCTCTCTTATGCTGACACGGTTCTCTCTTTTCTCCAGTTTATATTGCTGGGAGCTGTTCCGTTTCCCTCGGACGTGCCACGTCTTAAAGATCTCGGTGTTTGTGGGGTGATCACTCTGAATGAACCATATGAAACTTTGGTTCCATCGTCTCTGTACAAAGTTTGTTTTTTTTCTTTCTCCCTGGGTTTAATCTGCCCATTTCAATAATACTGTCTTTTGGGTTCTCTTCACCTGCTAATATACCAACTTGATTTAGTTTCACTGTTCTAATGACAGTCTCACTGTATTGACCACTTGGTTATTCCCACAAGAGACTATTGCTTTGCTCCTTCTATGGAAGCCATATGCCAGGCCGTAGATTTCATTCATAGTAAGTTTACTTCCTCATTTGATATGTTTACTGTTACGTTCCATGTATCGAGGTACGATATGTTTCTTCGAAATATTTTTGTGCGTCGGAAATTGTCATGTAAAGCGGTTCTTTGGAGCCAGTTCATTCCTTTTTTTTTTTTGTTAAAGTATATTGCATTTGTTGGAAGCCGATTTCAAAGCGTTATGAGCTTTAATTGTCTAATTTGAAGGAAATGCTTTGGTTGGAAAGACGACTTATGTTCACTGCAAGGCTGGTCGGGGCCGAAGCACAACTATTGTCATATGTTACTTGGTTAGTAGTGTTTCAATTCATCCAAGATAAATATGGGTAAAAGACACCATTTTCTTATCCATCTCTCTCATGCAAAACAGGTGCATCACAAGCGCATGACGCCCGAAGCTGCATATGCATATGCGAGGTCCATCAGACCAAGAGTTCTTCTAGCAGCCTCCCAATGGAAGGTACCTGGAAGGAATGCGCTCTTTTGTTCTTCATGTGGTGAATCCCATTTGCAATCGTTCTTAACTCATCAGTTTTGTGCAGGCTGTTCTTGAGTATTACGGTCTCAGAGTGACAAAATCTCAGGAACCCATAATAGATACAACCAACGACTTGGTCCCAAGGAGTGTGAAAGCAGTTCCACCCAGGGATGTGATGGTGTTTGATGATGGGTCAGTGGTGGTGGTGACTCAGACTGATCTAGAGGGTTTCGACCCAACAGCAGTTTCTGTGCCGATATGGACGGCGGCAGAAGGCATGAGAGTGGTGTACAGGGTGAAAGTGGCGGGGAAGGCTGCTATGGCTAGGATTTCGTGCTTGTGGGTGCGTTGTCGTTCGGACCAGAAGCTTTCAGGGGAGAAACTCTCCGCAAAGGCATGCCCCTTGGGAAGCATAAGCCTCGACATCTCTGTCTACTGATGAAACAGAGAGAGAGCCATATTAGTGAATTTGCTGCTGTTTCGGAAGAAAGAAAACAGAGTCCATAACATATGGAAGCAACCCCCATTGTAAATCCCGAGTCTTTTTGTTTGTGTAAATATGGCCTAATGTTTCTTCGTGAATCATCTCTTCTTATTCTCTGCCGTCCAGTTCCAGTGCCCTTTCCTTTTAGGTTCACTGCCCGCAATTTGTCCGCTTGGAGTTTTGAAGCTTTTCTTATTTGATTTTTGTTTTGAGTTATATCATGAAGACAGATATGCTCAGTAGAAGTTCCTAAAATGTTGTGTTTTTTTTAGAAAAATAGCATTTTTCTACGCAAATTTAACAAAATATGATATTTTTCTACATTAACTTTTAATTTGATAAAAACATATATCAAATTTACAAAATTTTCAAATCAGATACACGAATCACCTAATTTAACTGCGATTAACTATACAATCCGAAACGATGTTAAGTATCTGTTAAAAAACGACTGACATGATAGTCACGTGGAAAATTTTAATCACGTCATCACGACACGTCAGATTTAGAAAAAAAAATAAAAAAATAAAAAAATACATATATACTCATTTTTACGTACAAATACAAATATAAACACATATACTTCTATATATAACTATATCTATATATACTTACAAAATAAAAAATATACACATATATACATACATCTATACAAAATATATATACACATACATACAAATATATATATTCATACACAGATATATGTATTATACATAAATATACACATTAAATATGTATATATATATGTGTCTTCTTACATGTATTATACATATATTTAATATATATATATATACATATATATTTAATGTATATACATATGCATATATCTATGTGTATATTTATTTAGATACGTGTATGTGTGTATTTATAAATATATTTGTATGTATGTGTATATATATGTATATATTTTCCATTTTATATGTATATATAGATATATTTATATATAGGAATATATGTGTTTATATTTGTATTTGTATTTTTATTTTTTAATTTTTTTTTTCAATTTTATTTTTTTGTTTTTTTATATCTTACATTGCTCACGTGACAAAAAAATTTAACGTGGCCTACCACGTCAGCCGTTCTTTAACGGACACTTAACGCCGTTTCAGATTTTATAGTTAATCGCAGTTAAATTGGATAATTCGTGTATCGATTTGGAAAAATTGTGAATTTCGTATAGGTTTTTGTCAAATTAAAAGTTAGTATAGGAAAAAGTCACATTTTGCTAAATTCGTGTAGAAAAATATCATTTTTTTTTACGATGAATTTAAAATATAAGATTTTTTTTAATAATGTCTATACATATAACATATATATATACACACACATGTGTGTATATATATATACATATATATATATATATATATTTATTATATTTTAAATATTTTTAAATATTAACATTATTTTTAAATATTAAAATTTTATCTTTAAAATTTATATATTTGACTTAATAGTTATAATATTGATTCAAAATGTATATATATATATTTGTGATTCGTCTCGGATTTTTGAGACCATTTGCGCTTCAATACGCCCTGCGCCTTGTAAGACTATGTATCATAAATTATTATTATTATTATTTAAAATATAATTGTAGTTAAAATTATAAAAATTTGGATTTTTCTCTTGAAATATAATTATTTCTAAACATTTTATTATATTTTAAGTTAAAATCCTTTTTTGAAATATTTAAATGTCTATTTCTAATGGATATCATATTATTATCGTAATTTGTTTTGCGTAAAAAACAATACTGGTTTCTAAGATCTTCGCAAAGGTTTTTAGTTTTTTTTCATGAATTTTTTTCGTACGATTTATTAAAATTTTATATTTATTTGTCACACCGAATATTTTTTTGCATAAGCGAATATTTTTCTATTTTTTCATAGCAAAAAAATTTGTGTATAAAATAAATATTAATACAAAGGATATAAGTGGGAAGCTAAATTAGTTTTTTTTTTAAAATGATTTAAATAATCTGAATAGAAAATCCACGCGCCGAAATAGGAGAGCAACTAAAAAAAGGGCGATTTTGTGGGTTATAACCCACGGAAAATGGGCGCGTGAGGAAAACGCGCTACGGTTGAGAGTGGTTGTGGATCGCGTGGGCTCTACACGTAATTCGTCTTCGGGTTTGGGTCTTTCCCGTTTCGAATTTCTATCACTTGTTGGGCTTTATAGTCCCCTTTTAATCAATTGGGCTTTTACCTGTCTTCTTTTTTCGGCCATTTTATTTATTTTTTTTTAAATTTTCAAAGATCCGTCGAAATTTTCATATTTTAAGCCAAAATTATATACAAATTGCTCGAAAATTGATTAGCAATTCTCTGTTTTGGTTTCCTTTTTAATGGCTAGCCAGTGGTTATTATTATACGTCATCCATACTGAGCGATATTAACATCCACTGTAAAAAAGTATAAATATCTATATTATATGATTGGGAAAATAATTTATCTATATCAGTATCTTGAATAAAACTATATAAAAAAAATCCATTAATTTATTTCATATCAAGGAAATTATTCTGGAAAATTAAAGAACGAAAGAAAACACGAAAATAGTATGGCGAAAGCTATGCGGGGAAATAAAAGAGTACAAGGATGGACTTTATGAGCTAAACTGCATTTTTAGAAAACAACAAGAAGTCGGCTTCTATGTGAGTTACATGGCACGCTTTTCGAACACAAGACAAACGACGCCCAGTCGGCAACTCTACAAGTAAAACGACATACATTTCTAAACAAGAAAAAACAACAGGAAGTTCACTCCCAAACCAATTAAACAACAGGCATTCCAACTGTAGCAAAAACGGCACACGGTATGCCTCTGGGTAGTCTAAGCAACATGCCTTTCGAATTTAATTGTCACAACGAATTTTTCTTTTTGCGTAGATCGCGTGAGTTATACTTGTAATTTATCTTCGCATTGGGCTTTATTATAGGCTTTTGCCCCCATCCTTATTTTTTCTGTACCGCTTTTGTCGTATTTTAGCCCAAATTCTAAGTTTTGCTTTCATTTTTTATCGCTTGTTATATTTGTACAAGATCTATATTGAACGATATTAACATCCAATGTAACAATATCAATATTATATTATAAAAATATATTTATAATGCAAGATAATATATTTTTCCTTTTCTTTTCCCCTAAACCCACAAATTTTTTTTTTATAAAAAAAAGCAAGGGATGAGGAGATTCCCGCTCCCACGCGCTTAGAAACCCATCTTTTTCCGGAAACGGCGAAACCCCCCGGATTCGGTGGGTTACAGTCCAGGGAAAATGCGCGAGTAATATTCACGCGCCAATGCTGCGAGTGGGGTAATTTTATTCGTTGTTAATCTTAATCGGGTTTCGTCGGCCCAATCCCTCTCAACTTTAATGGGCCTACTCCCATTCAAATCTGAAGCGAGTGAGCCCATATTCTTTTCCTCAGCCCAATACCATAAAACTTGGATGGGCCCATCTCGTCCTGACTCCCGAAAACCCAAAAACGAATATTTTTTTATATGGAATCTTTTCACCTTAGTATCATTGGATATAACTATTAAGAGACAATCAGTCGAGGGGTGCGGCTATTTTTATCCGTACATCTATTCCAATCTTTTCATGGTTAATTAACTTTATTTCAATCGTGAAATAAGCACATCTTTCCCATTTACAGCTATTTGTTCTCGTTTTTTTTTCAATAATGCAAGTTAATAAATTGAAAAAAGAAGAGTTTGTGGGGCCGAAATCCAATATATTATTCTATAAGTGTTTTGCATTCTTTTTGTAAACAAAAATCTGTTATTTTGTTGGTGTCTCATGTGAATGCGTTGGCGGAGGCATTCGGAATATTTACAATTATTAAAAAGAAAGAGACATTCGGAATGTTTTAGAAATAATTAACTCGATATAGGAGACAATTAACTATCATAATTAAAAAAAACAAAGAAAAGAATATGCAAACAAAAGGGCCCAACTACGGGCCTGTTGGGCTTTTGTCTTAAACCAGTATAAGGCCCATGATCAAACCCATAAAATTGTCACACTCGCACATATGGCGCGTGAACGACACCGCCCATAAATCGCCGGACTATAGTCCAGCGGTTTCACCCAATTCTCGTAAAATCAGGAGATGGAGCGCGTGAGACAAAACAGAACTTCTAATTAATTAAAAGTGGTTTCTACGTTTTGTCTTCCCACCCAGAAATTATCTTTTCCTTTAAATCTAAGGGAAAATTACAATACTCGTAGAATACGTTTATACACAAAACCTTTGTACGTTCCAATTTACGATTATTTTACTATCATTATAATATTAATTATTATAAATTTTATTCGAAAAGAAAAGTTCGTCGGGCGGAAACCCAATGTATTATTCACTTGTATAAATACTGCTTTAATAAATTTAAAGCACAATACACATGACAAATTCAATAACGATTTTAAAAATTTTAAATTCTACAATAAATATTAATTAATTATAATCAATAAATTTTGTAACGTTTTTATATTTTAAATATAGGAATAATAATTGTTAAAAAATCGCTTGTTATATTTATACAAGATCCATATTGAACGATATCAACATCCACTTTAACAATATCAATATATATATATATATATATATATATTATATGATTGGAAAAATAATTTTAATCTGGAATAAAACTATATTTCAAAATCCATAACTTTATTTCCAGCATTCTGGAAAATTAATTTATGAGCAAAACTGCATACTTAGAAAGCAGCAGCAAGTCGGCTTCCATTTGAGTGCAATAGCACGCTTTTCGAAAACAAGACAAACGACGCTCAGTCGACAACTGTACAATTAAAACGACATGCATTTCCAAACAAGAAAAACAGCACGGAGTGGACGCCGAAACCAATTAAACAGCATGCATTCCGATAGTGCCAAAAACAGCACACAGTATGACTCTGTATAGTGTAAACAACATGCTTTTCGATCATATGCAAAACCACACGCAATTGATATGTGTATGCATGATCTTATACATGTGTTTGCCGGATGTACAAAAACCATCAAGCCGTTGGCTTTAATATTGTGTTACTGAAACTGTACAAAATGAGCATATATGAACATAGGAAAATAAGGCATTCTACTAATTATCCCTATACTATGTTATATCTGTAATAAATAACCCAGTATTTATCACATATTAATAAAAACAAAGCCCAAATACACATTATAATTGGACCAGCGTCAAAACCAAATATAATGGAACATGCCAAAGCAACACTTTTATTGCTACATCTCTTCTTCTTATTGTTATATTACAATGAAAATGAAATACATATTTATAGAAAAATTAAGAAACGGAGTAAAAAAGAAATATAGATACAATGGAAACAAATCAGATACACAATATTCGACATAATGATATTGTATCCATTATTATTCTCCATCATATCTCAAATCTTATTTTACTTCCATCACATATTCATTTTTCCATTTTAACATTCCCCTCAAGATTAACTTTGAAAGAATGAAAAAATCAATCTTGAATTGATAATGCTATAAACCGTCCATACATTTTCATTGTCTATGGAAAAATTCATAAACACCAAATTTTGTTCTTTTAGAAAGCATTAACCATTTTCAAATCACTTCGCTTGACTTTAAAGTTCTAACTTTAACTCTTTTTGTCATACCATCTTGCTTGATCTTAGAGTTTTTAGCTTTGACTTTTGTTTGTCATAGCACATCATTTGAATTTGGATTTTTACTCTCCTTTGAATGATTTGGATATATGAACATCCAAAACACAAATGAAAGAAAAGATTAGAAAATTAAAAAAAAAGAAACATATAGTTCAGATCGCAACGCTGCTCTGATACCATGTACAAAGCTTCTGAATCTGAATTCTGTCCTCTTATTTAGTACATGAATTCAACTACAAAGTAGATTTTATAAGGACAATCCGAATCATAAACGTATTATTTTCACATCTATTCAAGAGTTAAGATGTACACACACACACATATATATATATATATGTGTGTGTGTGTGTGGAACTCAGATCATGCATATGTTTCACTTACCGGTGTAAAAGGGCTTACGCTTCTCGGCAAAAGCAGCTAAGCCTTCGAGACGATCGTTGGTGTTGAGGAGTTGCTGATAACACATCTCTTCCATCTCCAATGCCGACCCAATGTTTGTTTCTAGGCCTTCGTTTATTGCTTTCTTCGCCATTTTAATCGCCACTGGACCCTGTCCCATTCATTCAATTACACATGTTCTAAAAGGTGAAACTCTAATCTGTCATTCATGGAGAAAATGCTAATCGGGTTTGTAAATATGCTTATGTAGAGGATAAACCACGAGTCCGGGAAGTAATGTCTACGAATTTGTGATTCATAATTATCAATGTTCAAAATTAACAGAAAACCCAGAGGTCCAATATGTAAGTAGACTCAAAGGTAAAATTTCGAAAATAAAAACTGATATCCAGAATCAGCCTACCTTCTCGTTTATCTGCTGAGCTATCCCGAGTGCCTTATTTTGAGCTTCGCCTGCATTCACACAAAAGTTGACAAGCCCTGCAGTCACAAACAATCACTTAACCTAAGCATATATGTACGAGCTAGAGACAGTTCTTTTACCTCTTATGGAGAATGTATAATGTCAGAAATGGATTTAGTTCATGTGGCAAAAACAATTTCACATTCTAATTTCTAACAAACAATATTAGCCTCTGAGGTAAAAAAAAAAAGATTCAATTTATAATCACAAACCAATCCGTGCAGCTTCTCTTGCATCAATCTTCCGACCAGTGAATATGAGTTCCTTTGCAACTGATCTTCCCACCAGCCTCGGGAGCCTCTGAGTGCCACCAGCCCTTGAACAACAATCAAGAATCACTAAAAAATTTATAATACCGAAATGGCCAACAACATCTTTAGTCAAGCTGTTCTGTACCCCGGGATAATAGCAAGCCCAGTTTCAGGTAAGCTGAATACTGCATCTTCGCCTACAAATTTTGAGGAAAAGAGGTAAGTTCCGATATATTAGGAAGAGGCATAAATCATAAAATGATTGGATCTGAAAATACCGCAGACTCTAAGATCACATGATAGGGCCATTTCTAGTCCACCGCCCAGTGCTGCACCTTCGATTACAGCGATAGTGGGAATACACAGTGCCTGTAAACTCAGAGCATAGAAGATAAAAGGTTACTATAGCATACGATACCTATTGGTCATCAAGTCCACAAGTCCAAATACACATTCAGAAATCTAAAGATTCTCACTGTCATACTATAATGCCAGCTTTGGTAAAGATGGAAGATGGAGGTTCTGTTTTCATATCAGCACAAAAGATAGAAACAAAAGTACAACAAATGTTGACAGAAAAAGTTAGATATAGAAAATTTTGCATCTGAGTGGAGGAGTCACTATCTCAATGTTCTTCAAACTCCGAATATGCTTTCCATAGATTCTAAATTGAAATCTAAAAACATAATTAAAGTATAGTTTGACAGACAGATATAATCCTCACTAGTCATCTGAATAAGGAAACTCGTTCAGGTTCATTTTACCACTGCTAACTTTCCCTGACGAATTCTTATGAACGAATGTAGTAGCTTATATATGAAAACAGGTTAAGCATATAAACTATAATGATACCTCTATGAATGAGAACATGTAGCGCAACGAGTTCACAAACGCGTGAACCTCTGATGGATTCATTGTTCTACGTTCCTGCCAATTCCAAGCAAAAAAGTTTTCCAAGCATGCCCAGAAGATTAAACCCGAATATCTCAGAAGAAGAAAGTTCAATGTGACTGATTACCTTCAAATCCGCACCAGCACAGAAAACCCTTGGGACCAGGCTGTTAATCAGCACAACCCTAGCAGATGAGTCCTTGTTTATCGTTTCGAAAGCATTCTGCAAACTTCTCAGCATCTCCTTACTGATGGCATTTTTGGCGGTAGGCCTGTCGAGATTGACCTCGATAATCCCTGTTATTGATATAAAAAAAAACAATGAATTTCATGGATCTTTCAGCACAGACTTTGATTTAAATCAGAGGATACAAAGCTAATTTCACATATGGTAAAAGTCCAAAACGCAGAAATATGCATCAACATGTCTTGGCTTAGATAATGCCAGTGACATGTTCAAGATTGAGACTTCTCTCCAATGTGTCTTGAATTGGATAGTAAAGGTGTCAAGTTCGAGTTTGAAACTTGTCTGGGTCCAACCTAATAACACAAAACAAGAACATCTAAAAGAATGCAGAGCAATTTGTGTTTGGTTCGGTCCCTGAAACAAACAGCAACCAGTCTTCATGTCATAGGTTATATGATTACTGGAATTCAAACTAACCGAGACAAGCTACTATCATAGTAAAATTTTCATGTTCTTGTTCGAGAAAAGCTATCATGTCTGAAAAACGCATAAAGGATTTTACATCGTGGTTCAAATTCAGAAGCGCAAAAACAAGTACCAAGGAGTCAATTTGGAAGCAATGGGAAAGGAAAATGATTCTTCTACTTCTTTTTTCTACTATCTAACAGCATCGTTCTCATACGCCTGACGTCGTTATCGTCAAGTGCCCAGCAACATAACACGCATAAAGAAAAGGCGAAATCTCAAAATGCGGAGATCAAACGGAAAACAGACGAACAATGAGATCAAACACCCAAAAGAGAAATAAACGAAACATAAAGCGCCCCAAAAGATGTGATTACCGGAATCGGAACCAGAGAGCCGGTTGAGTTTGACAGATTCCGAGGGAGCGGATTCGATGATGAGAGCCCGGAAGCTCTGGAGGATGTGATTGCGGCCAAGCGATGATTTTCCGGCGAGATTGAGGAGATGGTCTCGCCGGAGATACTTGACGAAGCACGCCGCCGAACCCATAGCCCCTCGAAAGTTTTAATCTTCTCTCTTGAAAGGTGAAACCCACAAGATTAATTTCCAACCTTTTGGCTGATTAAAAAAAAAATGCTTGAAGCCAAGATGAGTGTTTCTTCGCCCTTTCCGAAACCTGATGACAATTAAATTATCCTAGAAAACATTAAAACTATTATATTTCCCAAAAAAAAAAGAAAAAAACTTGCACTTTAAACTCATTATAACAAAATCTTCAAAAAAAAAATTATTAGCATTCTTTGGAAGTTTTTTATAAAACGTTAAAATTGTCATACTTTTGTGTTTATCTAATTCCTTTATTTCTTATCCATAATCTTTCTAAGACCCCATCCAAACGTACGAAATAAATATGATAGAGTATAGATATCATATTCATTCAAATCAGAGATGAAAACATATTTAGATATATAGGGCATTTCTTGACTTGAAAGCAGAAGAGAAATCCTTGATCTTTGGGGGGTGAAACACAAAAGAGACTACTTTTGTACTGTCAAAATTGCAGACTGCGGAGCTTTAACATGAGAACAGGCAAATCCACGAAAGGAAAAAAGGAGAGGGGGAACAAGAAACGTACGGGTTTGATGAAGCATTCTTCCTGAGTCAGATTCTATGTACCCATGCATCAAGTCGGAGCTGCTTCAATGGCGGAGCTAAGCTCGGCTTGTTCTTCTGTGGGCAAACCCATATTCCAGCCATTTCCATGCCTCGCGAATACTGGAGATTCGTTGTTTCTCCCAGAACTCTTCTCCTCTTCTTAGTTTCTTCATCTCCCTCGCCGGAGATTTTCTCTGACCTTTTACTTGTTGAGCACTCCACCAGAATTCCTCTATCCGGCTTTGTCCTAGAATTTCCCTCTCTTGATTCTCTGAATCTGCCCTTTCTTGTGGTCACAAATCCAGTTTCAGTGCTCTGCCCGTGAACATTTTCTTTGTCGTCTGATTCTGGGGTTGTGGATTCCAGATGATCAAATAGGCGAGCCTTTTGAGTGGCTTCTCTAGGGGGGGTTTGGCCAGAGTTAACTGTGGCGATCTCTCCAAGAGGTTGTGGTTTCAGTCCAGCAAAAGAAGCTCCATGGTTCAAACTTGATTGGGGTTTCACACCAAACAGGAAGCTAGGTCCCTGTTTAGGTTCACAAGGAAAAGATCCATGGCTGAAGCTTGATTCTTGTTTCAGTTCTTCTGTTGAGACGTTCCACAATCTACTTGGCTTCTTTTCCAAGTTTCTATCGGAATGTGTTTTGTCTGAGGAGCTTCCAATTCCAGAACTATTTAACCTGTCAGGGACAATAACCTCTTTCTTGCTATGAGGCTTTCGGAAAATTCCAGAACTATTTTCATCCTCTGCATCACTCTCTTCGATGATTAACTGCTCCTTCTCAGGAGAACTGAATCCAAGCTCACGAGTTTCAGAGAGCACTGGAGATTCGTACTCATAGCTGGAAAACCAGATTCCAACATTGGGAGGCTCTGACAGAACACAGAAACACAAAAGTAAGATTCTGATTTTTAAGCTCTTCTCCTAAACATTAGTCGTCACTCAACAGGTCAATAACACATTTGTTTGGATCAGTCCAGCTATGAAATTTACAAATAAACAGCTGATTAAGCTAACCCGAAAGCATGGATGGCGGGTCAGAGAAATCTGTAACCTGCAAAAAGAGTGATTCATGAGCAAGCAGAGATAAGAGATCTGACAAATAACAAACAATTTGAGAAACTGTGAACATGAGAGCTAAGACAATGTCACTCTAAATATGTATGTCATAGATATGTTACCGGATCTCCTCAGAATTTTGGTCCTCTTGGACAAGAAGAGTATGTAGATGGACAGAATCAGCTTGTTGATAACTTATACATTCCCTTGTGTGGCTCATACAGTTTCAGTTCACAGTTAGGATTGAGTCGATTGACAACTAAAAATCATCTTGTGGCATTCTCATACCAAAACAACCATCAGGGAAAAGGTTCACTAACACTTTTTTAGTGGTTACTGATGCATAACAAGTATAGCAGCCTAATCATGACTTATGAGCTCAGTAGTCATATACCTTAGAAGAAGAGAAGGGTTCATGCTCAAATTCCACATGAGCTATATCGCTTCCTTCAATTTTTGTTTCCTCATTATCTTTTTCCTTTCTCTTTCCCTTCTCCTTTATCTCCTCGCTTTCTCCAGGAAGAGACAGTACAAGACCATCACTCGTGTCCAGCACAGGTGACTCATAGATATAGCTCGAAAACCAATTGCCTATATCCGGAGGCTCTGGCGGAACACGTAGAAGGGAACAAGATCAATTCAGAGCATATGCCTCAACTCAAGAGCTAAACTACACTTTTCCAACATTTTCCTGTAAACCAGACATATATATACCCTCCAGAAACTAGTTTTTCAAGAATGACAGAACAGGGCTTACCAGAAGGGATTGATTCAGACAGTTCACCATCTGGGTTCTGCCAAAAGCAAACCTGTCAGACAGTTCACCATCTGGGAAATAACTCACCAGCGCGGGTGCGTTATAATAAACCAGAAATCGAAACATTACTGCAAATAGCTAAATCTACGATGCTGATAATGAGATACTACTACCGGGCTTGGCCTCATATTCCTGGGCTTGCAATCTTTGTTGGAACCAAACTTGGCGCCGACATTTTCCCTATCAGAACCTCCCGCACAAAGCTGATGTTCTTCGGCTTCACTCTCCCCGGCCAACGAATTCAAGGGGACGGATTCATAAACATAACTCGAAAACCACTTCCTAATATCCGGCGGTTCTGTTCAACAAACCCATATAAAGAAAAGAGTCAGAAATAACGCATAAGACGACGAGAATGTCCCAAGCTATCAGCGTATCCGACACTCACCGGAAAGGAGAGATTGAGAATCGGAAGATCCCGGTACCTACGAGGAAAATTAGCTTGTTATTTTCCTACATAAGCAAAAAGGGAATCGGCTAGAAACGGGTGTCCGGAGAAAGGATCTCAAGAAAAGGTGAGCGTGAATTTCAGCTAACAACAAAGCATACGCTCAGGGAGCATGGTATTTTTCCGCCGAATTTTCTCGGGAAACAGCGGCTTGTACAGATTTGATACCAAACTGGAAATGAAATGAGACGAGAGATTAAAGGAAAGACAAAAGTTCTTACCACGGAAGCGAAATCCTCCATCGCCAATCTCTCTCTCTCTCTCTCTGTGATCGATTATTTTTCACTTGAGAGGAGAATGTAATTGGAGCTTGTTTGGTATTTCGAGTTTTGGCGGGGCTTAGGAATGGCGCTTGAATTGAATTTCCTGAAATTGGGGGTGACTGGTGAGGAGGAGATGCGTTTTTCCACCGGGCCTTTCATCGACAGATTTTTTAGGCTTCTTTCCTCATGGGCCAACCTATCACCACACTTCCACTTTTTTTTTTACTTAATGCTGGCATCAAGGCCTTGAATGAAAAATGTTTTTGGAATTTTTAAATTTTAAAAACTAAAAAATTGACAATCACATCTTTATATAATTAATTTTTCTAAAAATTTAAAAAGTCGCTTTATAAAAACATAAATTTAAAAAATTAAAAAACTCAAAATAATTATTGTTTTAGGTTATTTCATATTTTTTAAGAAAAGATAAAAAAAACCACATAAAAACAATGTTATCATTAATAATTTATTAAAATTTAATAGGGATAAAATTAGAAACTATTATAAAAAAAATATCTTGAAAATATAGAATGATAAATATTTTGAAATATGGAAAATAACTTAAAACTACAAATATTTTGACACGGGAGGAGTACTTAAATATCTTTATCGTCTCTTAATTCATTGAAAAGTGTTTATGTTCCCAAAATGTACCACCAGAAATTTGGGAAATAAATTCCACCCAATAACTAACATGGAGTTTCTGAACAACCTACGTTTTGGACAGCCTATCGGATGCACTAGGAAGCAATAACTAAACAGACCCATTCTAGGGGAATCCCCCAGCTCTGTTGGTTGAGAGCTCACTTCTCCAAGTGAGATCGTGAGTACAACACCTAGTGTATGGAGATTCCCCTTTCGCCTGCCGGTTTAGGCCGATTTACACCCACTTGTGTGTTGTAGGCTCGCATGCGTGGGCCGGAATTAGTCTGGACTCTTGGGTATGGCTATGGGAAACCCGACTTACCAAAAAAAAAACAGACCCGTTCTTTTAAAAATAAAGAAAAAGGAGAGAAATTCCAATGACCAGGGGGGGAATACTGAATATCCTTCTCTGTCGGAAATCAATTATACGAACTGTGTTCAGTTCAGTAGCAACATGTGTTATAATATATAAAAGATAAAATCAAAGTCCGTGTTCTTGGCTGAAGTTATCGTCACTGTTGGGGTTGTAACCCCCAGCATTGTTGGTGGCATCGCCCTCCTGGTTGCGGAAACTCTCGAGGATGAGATTGCAGTTGTTGATGGTCGACGCGTACAGAAGACCGTGGTTCCACAGCTTCACCATGAACAGTCTCCATGACCTGACCGCCCATTTTCATATTATTACTGTCCAGTACCCAAAACCATACTTACTATACAGAGAGCCCCTCCTCACGACAAGAATGAATTTTTTGTACGTGCATAAATGTATGCATTCTGTGAACAGGCAGCACACACACATATGATATATGAGCAGTATCGACTCTACTTGTCTACAACGTTTAGGAGTTGGTTACATGTATGGAATAATTAAAGCAGGAGCAATGCAAACACCACCTTGTAAATCTATTTACGTGTCTCTCCACTCTATGTTCTGTCGTTAGCTAAAATATGTGTGTGTGAAGCCATACATATACATATGCGCATATTCGGTGACGCAAAAAAGTGAAAGTTTACCAGAAGAGAGGTGGACAGCGGAGCAACTCTTTGCCGTGAAGCTTTGAAAAGGCTTCACAAGCCCAGGGGACATGACCATCGGCGATGACCCTGCACCCATAGTCCAAATCATAAACCAGAGAATCTGACATGGACCATCGGTCAAAGCAACACGTCCCAGGTTATAACCACAGAACCATAGGAAGGGCATAGACAACTTGCGCCTGCTCGTAACTTATGGTTTCGTGGCCAATCACATGTTCTAGTCTACTAGATATCATCAGAGACATCAGACTTAGAATCTGATTTCCAAGGTGTCAAGGATAAGGAGTACCTCAAGGTAAAGTCTCCAACCCAAACGGTTCAAAATCCATGTGGAATGGATGCTTACCATGAATGCTGTGAATTTAGACTAAACAACACCTAAAACACTGTATTGTTTTCTTAAAGAAACAAAGAAAAGAAAAGAAAAGCTAGTTGTACATTCGAGCAGAAGAAAATGTTACCTTTGTTTTCTCACGAACGAGTTCCAAAGATGCATGAAGCGCTTTTCGTCTTTGCTTACATCCACAAAATCATCAAGCATCTGCAGGTAAAAAAAAAAACAAAGGATTTTTGCGAGTTTCAAAATATACAGTTTTCCAGTGGTTTTATATACGTTGACCGGAGGAAGTAGATAATTATGGATACCCGGCGATCTTCGAGATCTGCAATATCATCGTCAACTTCATCCTCGCTATCACGATCAGACAGTACTTGCGCAAGTGCCATTGGCTTTCACAAGGAAACATAGCAGGTTTGACTAGTGAAAATAAAAAAGAGATGCAGTTTTTTTTTTTTTTGCACCAGAGGATTTTCCGAAATGGAAAAGGGGCTTCTATATAGGCAATACAAATGACATGCCTTCCAATCAGACGTGACAATCCTTATATAGTTATATGGAATGAGATTGACCAAGAAATAGCATCATAATTTGAGAACAATTATCCTATAATCAGATATGGCATATGCAAGTAATTAACAATGCTAAAATAGGTCTACAGGAATGTGAATCACCTGAACCCTGTGAGAATGGTAGAACTGACGTTTCTGAAGAAGCATGTAGCTGGACGCATTATTATTTTGAGGGGTTAATATTGCAGAAACTTAATAGATATTAGAAGGCATTATCATGGTGAAGGAATTTAATAGACACGAGAAGGGCATTATAAAGGTGAACATACCTTCTAGCCTCAGATCGTTCTGTAGCCAACTTTCTTGTCCTAGTAGCAGGCACCACAGCTTCGCTTGTTAATATGGATTTAGCATCAGAGTCCACAGAAGAGTGAGCTACGGCTGCTGGGGTACTTGCAATGTTGCTAGTCATACCAAAAAGCCCACCGAGCTGTATTGTGTTTGGATATCCTGAAGGGCGGTTTTCTAGTCCAAGCCAACCATTTTGAACATCAGTTTCAGTATATCCTCTTTACAAGCAGAATACTTGCATTGGAAACCCAGAGTATCACAGAAATTGACAGATAGAACAAAGAGTATTTTCTCTGAATTTTTAAGCGCTGAGGAATATCATGGCAGGCTCGAGAAAAAAACTTTACCATCATCCAGATGAGGAATTCCATTATTGGTGTCGCTGGCTAAATTGTGTGACTCCAACTCGAGAAATTGCATGCTAAGTGGCTCGACATCATGGTCATCTTTTCGACTACGCTTACGAGGTTTTGAGCTAAGACAAAATTACAGTTGGATTCACAGAATTCTGACGACAAAATTCCCAAAAGGTGTACTGGAGAATTTAAAATTTACCAAAAAGAGAATGTTTGGAATCGTTCTTCTTCACTTGTTATCTCCTGTTACAAATATACGTTGGAGTTCAAAATATGATGAGCACAAATAATTTGCCAAATAACCTTAAAAAGTAGGTTTCTCCAAGTTAGTGAGCTTACAACTGACCTCGAATCTCAACGCATCGAGTTTCACAGAGACATTAACTGCCTGGTAGCCGTCTGATGACTACAAAAGGAAAAAAGCCATAGTTAACTAAGATGTAATGAAAAGAAAAATAGTAAAGCTACACTATAGAGCCATGAAGGTACAAACCCAGAAGAAAAAATCAAATAAGTCATGCGAAGAAGACAAATGAAGTCGCAGGCCCTGCATAGACATAAAACACTGCACATGTAAGTTATATGCTGAATTTGTTATCTCACGGTACAAATCAACTTGGAACCGCACGGTAAATTCACATGTTACTGGGCATGACATTATTGAGAAGAAATCTCAAATACATATGTTAATAAGTGCTCACCTTGAAGCTTCCACAAAGCATAAAGCAAAAAGGACAAGAAAAGTCCTCAGTCACTGCATGTTGAGACCGAGAAACAGACAGCATATTGTTAAAAAAAAATAGGAGGAATAAAAAGTAGATATCGGTTTCTGAGAGGAAAAAAGAAGACCCACCTTCAGTTTTTTGTATTATGTTTCTACTATCCTTATAGTTGAAAACTACAATTCCTGATCTGAACCTAAACAAAATAAAACAGAAATATAAGAGAATGTCCTGTGCAGAGAGGCAACCATTCATCTAACCAGCATAGAAATACAATTACAAACACAAACGTCGATGTGGGCATAATATAGACACATGATACCAATTTAACTGTAGCAGCTACGTCCAAAGAAGAAATTCATACTTCCTTTTGTCCCTTGCTTGAATTTTGTAGTTCAAACATCTTGGAAGGAAGGACGGCTGCATAAACAAAGAACATAACAGTAAACTTCAAAAAGAAGAAGAACTCACTTCCCATGAAGTAAACCAAACACAACACAAATTGCCTGCAATCAACATCGTGAAAATAAAAAAGCAATTTATGAAATCAACATATTCGCTGACCATAAGAGAATCACTAATCTATACAACGAACAAGAGAGGAAGAGAGAGATTCCAGATGCCATAGTAAGAGGAATGCTACAACACTTGATTAGAGATGTTACTCTTGAGTAAGCAATACTGAGCCAAATCGCAGGAAAGAACACATGAATGCATACGCTGTACAGAGAGCGGCAGTGAAGGATGTTGTATAATTGGACGGGTTTGCAGTATATCAAGAGACGCTCCTCAGCTGAAACCACCTCCTCCGCTGAGGACTTGACGCCACAATTTTGCCGACACATCTGGTTGAGTTTACAAGCTACGACCAGAAGAATCCACGAAAATTCCTGACAATGCAAGACGAAATCGAATCAAAATCTCGGAAATAAAAGGGACAACCTGTGATCCATGAAATTTCTGCGAAATTGACCAGAAATCGAGTGTTCGATTCAGTGCACAATCATCCCCGGTAAAATCCGTTCGACAACACGTGAAATTGAGATCTCCAACAGAAACATCGAAGAATATTCTAATCATCAACAATTCTCTATGTATGCTATGAGATTTAACCCGAAATGAAAGGATTTCACGCTCCGACAGCGTGGAAGCGAAATTCGCGACGAATAGTTCCAGAAAAAGACACTGGAGAGAAGATATAACCTGATCGGAGGGCTCAAACTCGCCGGAGATCGAAAAGAGAGACGCCGGAGGCGGAGCTAAAGCCAGCTAGTAGGTCATGTGTAACGGCAGGCCCATTGACCTTTATAAGGAGCGGCCATCTTCTGTTGCTTCGAAATCGATTCTCGTCGAACACTTTTTTGTCACCTTCTTCACCAATTTATGCCAAAAAATTCGAAAAAACCCCTTCGGAAAATTCCTTGACATAATCCCATCTATTTAATTAGAAAATAATATGGTATATTAGTAAAAATATTAAATAGTATAACATCGATAATAATGGTGTTATTAATAATAACTATTATTTATTTGGAAACTACAATTTTTTAATGAAACAAAACTAATATTAATTAGTGAGAAAAAAACTAACATTAATTAATTCTTTGGAATATATTCATTCAATGAATTCATGTGTCCTTATGATCTTGTTACGAAATCTCTTATGGCCCATTCAGTCCAACAAAGCCCAATAAGCTGCTACTATCTGGTGTGGCACGGAACACGAAAAAGTAGGGAGAAAGAGAATATAATCAACGGTTCTAAATTTTCCACGTGGCATTCCGACCGAGTTTTTACACTATTCAAAGTTCAGCCGTTAAGCTCTTCAAAGCCGTCAACGGTCACGATTTTGTAAGGCATCATGGGACCAATTTCCAAGAGATGGGCACTCGATGAAAATAATCTACTATCGATTTAATAATCCAATGCAGGTGGTATACTTCATAGTCTGTAACCATAACGTGAAAATAATTGTTGTACGTTGTAACTATTTGCTATATAATTGACTCGTTTAATGAAATATTTAAAATGTGTATCATTCTGATATGTATTTTTTTAAGACCAGGATTGAAACATCAACGACAAATTACACTACGAATATATCCAAATTTGATTAGTTCACTCAAGTTTGGATGATCTAGTGGTGAAAAAACATGCAAAGCATGCTCTCACTCTGGATTCAAACCCAAGCGTGAGGAGGGGTATTCACCTGAACTTTCTCGGTCTTGGTCAAAAGGTCCGGTGAACTTTCGGATTATAAAAAAAAAATTTGATTAGTTCAAATGTTGAAATGAGGTAATAAATATTTTTCGTCATGAGTCCGAACTTTAAATTTGAAAAAGAAGATATATTTCAAATCACATGATTGATTTCCGACCACAAAATTAGTTCGAGTTTTGATATATAATATCCTATTATACCGTGAATATCTACGTCATGACAAATTATAATTGACGTCTAATGCTGACATGGCATGTTGTAACGATTTGGAACTGTATTTGCAACTCGTGGATGGATTCTTGGCGTCGAACTGTCCGTTCCATACAAACGCAAAATGGAGTTTAAGGAAGCTGATGGACGAGTAGAGGTCAAACATAAGGTTTTATATATGGGAGGAAAAGCCATGAGACCAAACCGTTTCCGGATCGGTTCGGTCCGATCATTCTGACATTCTTACAGTTTTGTTATCGATAACAGAAATAATGCGCTTAGCCGGTCTGGACAATTAATTAATAATTATACTTATTGCAAAGTATTAATATAATGGTTAAAAAAAAGTAATAATATAATTGTAATCCGATTGATTGGTCCGGTCCAATTCAAATGGGTTACTGTGTCCAATGTATTTAATATGAATATGCACTTCCACCATTATTTGTCACATATCCATTTAAAAATCTTTGCAAATCTATATTCTTCTAATATTTTCATATTTCATATTCACTATGCATGTCCCATATTATTAAGTACCGCTTAAAAATGTGAGGATAATAGAGAAAAAACATAGGTTAGCAGATTTCAAATGTTTTTTTTTCCTATAGAATTTAAAATTTTAATTTTAAACCTCGAAAAATGCAAAAAAAAAACGTGGGCCTAAAAGAAGGCCGCCAATAGAAGAGGACTGCAAACCGCACAATCTAAGCCCAATCACAAGAGAATATCTGACCGTTCGATTACTTAATCTTAGTGGTACCATCGCACGGCTGAAAATAGGGATTCATAGATCCTTTCCATACACTCGGTCGCATCAGATTATTACCGGACGAGTGCTAAAGGGATTAGGTTTAGCATTCTGATCTCCACTGCCGCTTTTGGCTAGGGTTTTCCAAAGCTTTCATAAACTTTTCTCTCTCTGCGTATTTCCCACATTTTCCACCCTCGTCTGGTTCATTTTCTCACCAGCCAAACAGCACATCAGCCTCATCACCGTACACCCACTTTCCTTCTGACGTTTCATCTAGATCTATTTCTCCATGGCTTCGATTGATCACTAGTGTTACTGTCTTGAGTGACGTTTGTGAAAAACCCAAGGGTTTTTATCTCCTCCCCAGGGCCGCCATCTTCATCGAATCTGTAAGAAATGGCAACTTTGAACCCTTTTGATCTGTTGGGAGACGATGCTGAGGATCCGAGCCAGCTCGCTGTCTCCGTCGCTCCGCCGGAGAAGACCGACAAGACCAAGAAACCTGCGGCTGGTCCGAATCAGGCTTCTGCGAAGCTTCCGTCGAAGCCGCTTCCTCCTGCTCAAGCTGGTGAGATTATCCTGTGTATTCATATTGATTAGCGAAAGATGGTTTCATTTTCCACTACTTTGTTTTATCATCCATTTGATTGCTGTAATCGTGTCTTTAATGCTTATTTTTTGTTGATAAAACGCATGATCAGTAATTGGTATCTGGGTTCGTTTGATTATTTCCGTCTGATAGATTGTTATTATGGTAAACTTGTGCTTACTGCCTTGGCTGCTTTGTTGTTGATATCGTTATTTCGTGTACGTGTATATATATATATATATATATGTATCATCTGCTACAGAGGTTATCTGTTCATACCTTCGGTTTGGCTTCTGAGCATGATTAGGTAGATAGCGTGAAACCGTAAAGGGTTATGCAGTTGAGTTTGATGCTTTTCGTTGTGACAGAACTGTTTTGTTTCTGCTTTTTTCATGTTATCTATTGAAAGCTGCCCACACAACTCTGACTTGTTTATGGTTCTTGTCAGTGAGGGAGGCCAGGAACGAAACTTCAGGCCGTGGTGGCCGTGGTGCAGGCCGAGGTTATGGCAGAGGAAGAGGTGGTTCTGGAGGGTACAGCCGTGATTTCAGCAGCAGTGATGCTTCTGGAGGTAACAATGGATATGGGAAACCCTCTGAGGAAGGAGATGTGACCAAAGCCTCTGAGAGGCGTGGCGGGGATGGTGGGCCTCCTGGTTCCTTCCGTGGAGGCCGTCGTGGCGGATTCAGCAATGAAGAAGGTGGGGAAGAGCGCTCTCGTAGAATATACGAGCGTCGTAGTGGAACTGGCAGAGGGTTGGTCATATTCTCTCTGTGCATAATGTTATATATTTATATATGAATCCTGCATTCCAAAGGGTCTACCATTATCAAGATGCTGCAGCCTGGTTGTAATCTCGTTTATTGCTTAATATTGATAGGAGTGAGTTCAAGCGTGAAGGTTCTGGTCGTGGAAACTGGGGAACTCCAGGCGAAGAACTTGTTGCGTGAGCATCTATCTGACTGATGCATTTGTTAAATATTGTGCTTTTGTTTCTGATTTGGGAAATTAGACTTATGGGTTCTTTCTATCTTTGGTACAATTGAAGTGAGACTGAAGAAACTGGTGTTGAGACCGAGAAGAAAGTTGTTGAGAAGCCAGCTGGTGATGATGAAGCTGCTGATGCTAACAAGGAGACCCCTGCTGAAGCAGAGGAGGAGAAGGAGCCTGAGGACAAGGTATCATTTATACATACGTATAGGAGACCTGTTTTCTACAGAGCTCTTAGCTTTGTATCCATTACTTTCTGTTCCTGAATCAACATGTATATATGCCATTTTCATTGTTGATGCGTCTTTTCGGTCATGAATAGGAAATGACACTCGATGAGTATGAGAAAATACTTGAGGAGAAGAGAAAGGCTCTTCAATCTCTGGCTTCCTCTGACTTTGAGAGGAAAGTTGACCTGAAAGAATTTGAGTCCATGCAACAACTCTCAAACAAGAAGGCCAATGATGAATTCTTCATCAAGTTGGTAAGAAACCATACTATTGTATCATTTACACAGTCCATTAGAAATTTTAATCTCTTATTCCTGCTCTAAACTGGATCTCTTCGCAGGGTTCGGACAAGGACAAACGCAAAGATGCCCTTGACAAAGAAGAGAAGGCTAAGAAGGTTCGTATCCTATATAGTTCATGTGGCACTGGCTCCTTTATTCCAAGAATCTCCTTTGTCAATACTTTTTGTTATCTTTTATGCTTTTAGTTGTACATTTCCTTGTAATAGGTGTAGACTTTAGGGAGAGTCAGTGTTATCTGGTCGCTGTGAATGCTGAGATGGGCTTCTCTTAAACACAGATGGGCAGCTATGTGAACATTCTCTGCTCATTCCCCTTGTGCTTTACTTAATGTTTCTGTCTTTTTTTGTTTTCCTGATACAGGCAGTTAGCATCAACGAGTTCCTGAAGCCAGCTGATGGTGAGGGCTACTATCCACGAGGTGGCCGAGGCCGTGGACGTGGCCGCGGAGGAGGCTCAAGAGGAGGCGGATATGGCGGTTACCAGAACAAGGCTGCACCGGCAATTGAGGATACTGCCCAGTTCCCGTCCCTTGGAGGAGGCAAGTGAGTGGGAAATGACTGAAGAAGGGGTAAACTTGCAAACGATTTATAAAAAGAAAAAAGCCTTGCCTTGATCAGGGTGTAAATTTTTAGATGTGCCATCTGTTCTCTTTAGATATTTATGCTCCTTTGCCTGCTTCTGTTCTCTCTCTTTTTTTCTCCAGACCTTTTTGGAACAGACCCTCTCCCTTGTCTTTTGTTTCACTGTTTTAGTACTCACTAGTTTTGTTCTTTTTTTTTTTGCTATTTAACAATCATGACATGTTTTGGACCAATTTAATGTCATCATAAATTTTGGGGTCTTCATATATCCTATTGTCCAAGTGCTTAGGTTTTGCATCATAACCCATTTGTAGTTTATGTATCTCTTGCATTGGTGGACTATACATGTGGTGACACTATATGGTGTGTAAAACGATTCCATTGAAAAATTCGTTTTAACAATGAAAGCTGAGTCTTGTTTTAACTGTAGCCACTAAGGAGATTCGTACTTCCTTTTGTCCCGTGCTTGAATTTTGTGGTTCAAACATCTTGGA